TATAAAATATTGCATTAATATCTCGTAATATGAGATTTAACGTCGAGGGGAGTGAAGGAACGATCTCGTACACACGATGAGTTATGCATTCGCGGCGGACGAGTCACGGAGCTGTTCATTCGCCATTGCGTGGAATCTAAAGTCTCTAAAGTCGAGGATTCGGTCGCTACGAAAATTTAGAGGATATTTAATCTCGGTTTGTGGCCGGCGTAACCGACACGAGAGAGATCCGCCGTTAAATAGGGCCCTAAGTTCCGCATAAACCAGCACATAAGTAGCACGAGTAGCTCAAGTTTTATAGCGGTTACGCGTCGAAACCAACTTCTCTCTCTCATACGTGGAGGTGCTCATACTCGCGTGCCTACTCGTGTATACCTGCGGAGATTTTACGGCCCAATAAAAGCGAGTAGCACCCGCGAGAGGTAGATGCGCTACGTAGGACAAGCGTCGGTAAACAGAGTTGCGCGCACCAAGTTGCCACGTGTCGAAATCAGCTGTCCCGCAGGCCAGTCGACGACAATGCGCGAACGTTTACGATTGCACCAAGATTTATGTTAATTTTTGTTTTCGTTGCACTTAGGCGCCCTCTCTTACTCCTACGCGATATCGCGACTGCTGTAAGCGGCTACTGCGTCGCCGTCGGTCCCTCTATTTGTCTTATAAGCAGCGAAAATCCGAATTAATTTTTCTCAACTAAGGAAGATCGGATCTGGTTGTCACCTGACTTTGAAAAAAAAGGATGTATGTATGTAAATTTTTTAATATTCTCTCAAATATTTTAATAATCTTAATTTTCATGTAGGCACAACCTTTAGGTTAAAAAAATATTATCCTTATATATTTATATATAAGAAAATTATTAAATTGTAAGCAAAGTCGTGTAAATATGACTATCTAACGTTAGGATTAGTTGTCAGATGTCATTCGTGTAAAGGAAAAGACAAATTATTTTTGTAAGGTTTCAAGTGTTTTATTAAAGTTAGTGATATTTTGTAGACATATATAATAAACATTGAACCAAAAATAATCACTGAACCAAGAAAATAATAATTTTCATAAACTTTGTAAAAATAACTTTGAGCTCTCTTTTTCTCTATAGTATATTAGTTGAATTTACTGTTGTGACATGTATAACTCGTCACTTTGTATGCTTCCATTACTCTTACATAAGTTACGTCATATCTAAAATAATTTTTTATCATAGCTACGTGACAGACTTGTAATGCGTGCCAACTAACCTCACTTAATTTGAGTATAAATTATGTTGCAGCAATTGTTAATTAAATGTAGGAAAAGAATTAGCTAAATCCATAATATTTCTTGCAACCAAAGAGAGAGAAATTGTGATCAGAAATTCGCACTAACGCACGAATAAAAATAGAGATCAAAAGAATTTACTCGCCGCGTCTAATTTAGAAAAAGTGATCGTGATATTCCTGTCATGAGCCATTTCGTACATTCAGTTAATATGATACAAGCAATCAGTATTACAAAGAAAAATATCCTCTTCCATTTATAAATGAGATATAAGCTTTGTGACTCGTGTGACTTCTAGACCCGATATCCCCTACTCCCTCTCAGTCTCACACTCTTAGCATGAGCAGGCGGGATTACAGCGTAATATTCAGGGCGCGCAAATATCTCTGCTCGAATCCGCGCGAGCCCAGCTCGTCTCGGCCAGCGTCGTACGCGGAGCGCCGCATTTTCGCGAAATTTTGTGTTTCTACAATGTGCGCGCCCGGTGAGAGTCGATTACCCCGCGTCCGATATGCAGTTTCGCGAGATTCCCGCGGAGAAAATTGAGCTATTACACGGTATTGCGTGAGAACCGAGCGTCCATAAGGCGAAGTCCGGGCCGATGGGACACCCGGTACGGGTCGTTGGGGCCGCGTCGTGAGCGCGTGTGTCGTGTGTGCGCAGCTTGTGCGCACGTGTAGGCACCCGCGACGCACGCGTGTGCGCGCGTACGTGGACAACGACTAGGTGCGCCGTCATAAATCTGCCAAGCCGTGGCAAATTAAATCATTATCTGGAAGCTGCGAGCAAATTGCGCTGATGCATGCTCGCAAGCCCCTACGCCGTTCGCTCGCTCGCCCGCACCACCATTGTGCCGACGCTTCTTTTCCCGGTGCCTTCGCATTCCTCCGGTCCGCCCTTTACGCCGTTACCGCGATTTTACGTTCTCGCGCACAGGAAACTCGCACGGAGAGAGCGGTTTCTCCTCTTCTTCTTGCGGCTCGCGGCCGCCGCGGCGGTTTGCAGTTACGGCGCGTAGACTAATACTCATAAATTCCAGCCGGCGAATGATGATAAAAGGGCCGCGGCGCGGCCGTCCGACGAGAGATCGTGTGTTGCTTTATGCCGCGAGAGCTCCCGGAAAATTTTCAACTTTCAGCGGCATAATCTTCATTGCAGTCGACCTGCCGCGCCCGCTTTTTTCTCAAGTGTCTCAGAAGTGTGCGCAAGCATTTACGCGGCGAGCGTATGTTCCCTCCTTCGGAAATAGTGTCGACGAGCGAATACGAAAAATCGCGAATAAAGTGAAAATTTGCTAACGTGTTGCGACGAAGAAATTTCACGCTTGTAATTTTTCTTCATTTAAATTGATAACTTATAGCCACATGAATATAATCTCATCCTTAGCAGAATATTCTTATGCAAGGTGAGTTACCTAACATTCCCTAAAACAATTTTCTAAAACAGTTCTAGAATATTTTTTTGTATTTTAAAACACTTTTAAAACAATTTTTGTTTTCTGAATTCTAAAAAAATTTTTTTGTTTTTTATATTAGAAGAAAATGTACCGAAAAAAAAAGATTTTTTGTCGAAACGAAAATTTAGTACATCGAAACAAAATTTGATTAAAATAAGGTTAACCAAATGTTTGGTAACCAAATAATTTAATTATCGCTTGTATATTCTGCTTTCTCATTAATACATCCTATTTGACACAAATAAAAAATGTAATATTGCCTAAAAAAAAAAAAAATTGAACGTACCAAATATTTTAGCTCTAAAAATAATTTTTTTTTATGTATGTAAAATATAAATTGTGTTTTTAAAACAAAGCTACTTGATTATATATTATCTCTTATTATATATTATCAATATTCATTTCTTCTAACAATTTATTTCTTATATATTTTCTCCTAAGAAATAGAAACCAATAGATATTTTAGAATTCAATTAAATGACTCACCTTATGTATGACCTCGAGAATGTTTTTAAAACCAAAAGGAAAATATCCTATGCACGATATTATTCATCCTCATTAAAAGAAAGATGCTTTTTCAGTAAAAGTTTTCATTTGGCATATGGAATTACGGGAAGTGGCACTTTGTAACTATAGATCTCTTTTTCTTTAGCTGGAATATTTTCCTTTTGGTTTTAGAAGAATCCTCGAGACTATAACATAAGAGGATCTCGCTAAAGATGAGATTATATCTCTTTCAAATGTAAGATTATGAAGTGGTAAGTGGTTATGATGTGGATCTCTATCGCGAGAGAATCCGCGATTCGTCATTTGCGTAACGACGCGTCTCGCTTTTCACCGGGTGATCCATTGTTCCCCAAAAATCGCACGGCCAATAACGCAAATGGCAGCGTCGGCAAACAATTTTTGAAAACAGAATCGCTGAGCGCGCGCGGCTCTTGTCTCCGACTGAATTTTCATTCCGACAGTTCCGGCTCACCTCGTCGCGACACTGACGAAAGGAGTGCATTTCAGATACGCGATAAATCACCCTTGAAAAATTGGCTCTCGCACGCCATCACGGCCAGACTATTCGACCCGATTTCGCTGGAGCCGCGCTCGAGCTGTTGACCGTGAGTCGCCGGCCGAACCCATTAATTAATCCTCATGGTTAATGAATAATCGCGTCTGATCTTTCGCGCGCGCGTACGACAGATAAGGAAGAACGACAGTCTTGTCATCAACGCCAAAGCCTGCGGCACATGAGGGCATTTTGTTGCCGATTTCTCTCCTGTATTGTCCTGCAGTTCGTGGTATGTGCGGTTCATAGAATAGAGCTCCGTTCGTCGTCGTGCAAGACAAGCGTGCGAGTGCGATATGATTGATTTAAAATCAGTGTAGACTTCGTAGTGAAAAGACCTAACGAGCCAAAGCGTGTTCCGTATGCCGTAAGGGTGATACGCGTCGAATGCTCTCGTGGTGGTTCACGCGAGCACGATAACGCGGACTGGCGTTTCGCTTGATATATCTGCTGTCACCCACTTACCATCCCGTGAACGCATGAGGGTCTCTCTCTCTCTCTTTCTCTCTCTGTCTCTCCTCCCTCTCTCCTCCATTTCTCTTTCTCTCTGTCGGAGACAAGAGGGATTTCGTCGCGCTGAATGAAACTTTATGTCCGATCCACGACACGAGCATAACCGAGCAGATATACGGTCCCGATTGCGGCATGCGTGCCCGACAGTTCATAATTTAACGGGCAGGACCCTCTCGATCCTCGTCCTTACGTACGGACGTACTAGCGCATCGACAGACGCGTCGACAGCGTTGATTTTATCTCTCGTTGCGCTCTTCGTGCATTCGGCGTATGCGCGGGTGCATTAGATCGTCGGCAGCAACAGGCGAGTCGTCTGTCGTCTGCAAATTGCAGCTGACGATTCAATCGTGTCGCGTTTGCCATGTTATATCGCTTCGAACTCTGCTCGCGTTTCTCTGTTTAGTTCCCGACGCGCCGCGCCGCGTCAGATCGTCGCGTAAAAATGACAGCCGCGCGATCGATTCAGACGTAATGGCCCGTTGTTAGCCACGATCGAGTTTTCATTGTTTTAATTAAAGAAAATATAGAGAGCGATATATTTTCAATTGCGAATTTATCTCGTTGTCCTTTTGTATCGAATTAATAATACAGATATATACGACCGTGTAAAGTGGCACGCTCTCTCGCAAATTTTCAGATTTTCAGCGATTGAACGTGACGCGGATATCGACTTGTGTAAGCGCGACCTATCGGAAAATCGAAAGTGTAACTCACCAAACCGTCGCAGGCGGACAGGGCGACGCGGGAATTCCGATGGCCCTTAATGAATCCCCGATAATGACATTTGCTGCCGTGACTTTTCGCCGGGCTGCGAACGTGCAGGTCCCGCTTTCGCCTTTCCACGACCATCGCGCGGCCGATGAAGTTGTCGGCCGCTGTCAGTTCGATGTGGTACTCGTTACCGGCCACCGCCACTCGATAATGAACGATTGGCCCATCCTCGTGATGATGATGCGTTACATTATGCGAGATCAAATCACCCTGATGATTCACCTTGCGCGGTATTACGATCTCGTGATCGTGTAAGTGTTCCTGCAGTGTATATACACCTGAAAGCATAAAGGAGAGAGTATATGATAGGAAAATAATTTATTTCATTATTAGAAGAAATAATATTTGTGTATACACATATATTTGTGTCGCAGAATATAAAAAAATTTAGTTCTTTAAAAATTTAGTCTGATTATGATACAGACGTCGTTTTGCACGCGGAGAAAATCTTATAGTAAAGATTACTATACAGAATTTTGTAACCGAGGAATATATCAACATTCTGCTATAAATTATTTTTAGTTTTTTATTTCATATTTGCTATTTATGTTTTAGGAAATGGAATGTGTTGTTATAAAAAAACATGTTCCTAGTATATCCATTTATTTCTGTTTCTTAGCAAGATAGACCTTACTGACAATTTATCCCTGCACTACTGAAAACAGTAAAATTGAAAACATTTATATAAGAAAAAATTATAATATTCGCGTAATATTCGAAATTAATATTAATTCCCACTCTTTTAATAATCTGTAATGCACGGAGTGCTTGAAATAAACAAGAGACAGAATTTCCACGTGAACTTTGATACACGCATAGGAAAGCGCGAACTGCACTTTTGCTATTGTCGCGTTTGACTCGACGCCATCTTTGCCGCGCAGCTTTTCATTCAGCAGGATTTGTCACCGAGTAATATGTCATATTTATTGAGTGTTTATCGTTGGCGATTTCATCCGGGCAATAAAGCGTAACGTTATTATATTACACGTAAGTGGGCAGACTCGTAAAAGCTAAACGCTCGTTCGGCTCGCGCGCGTGCACCAAGTAGTGAAATCTTATCCGAAGCGTTTAGGCGTCTATCATGTGGTAGGGAAGTTGAAAAGCGGCTGACCCCTTCGCGATAATATGGGAGCGAAACACGATGGTGGTTAAGGCATCACACATAAAATTCCGTAAAGACGTAAGTTTAAGGAAATCAACCAATCCCAATCGAGTATTCGGCTGTTCGTAACCCCTCCCCTTCCGTAAAACATAAAATATAACGCCGAAAGAATACTGTAAGTATTAAATTCTTACGTTTTCTGAACAACCAATCACATATCATCACAGGATACACATTTTAGTTTAAAATTTGGAGCCAAGCTAGTGAGGTTATATGTGCAGTGAAATGAGTGATCACAATTAATATTGTAACAATTAATATATTTAATAACTTTTAAAATTATGAATTCCTTGAAAATGAAAACGTTAAGGAAAGTAATGAACTGTTTACTGTGGTGAATATACTCATTTCTTCATAATTATCAAGACATAGTATTGTTTAACAAATGACCTGAGAGATAGCTTATATGTGTACAAAATTATTTCTTCATAATCTTTCTTCACAAGATAAACGTGACTTAGATTAGCTACTAAGGCTGACAATTTTTTTCTAATTGTTATTGAAAAGAAATATAAAAATATAATATCTTAGTTAAACGTAATTTACTTTCTCAATCAGTGTATTATCACTGAGATAACAGTGAATATTCACATTTGATATGTGATGCCTTTACATAGCGTAACGCTGGAGCAGTAATTTGCTCTGATAAAGCGCGCGCGCTTTAGAAAGGTGCCGCCGTTGCGTTCGATTAACGCCCTCGTTAAGCGCCGCGATCCGAGCGGCGAGACAGATGACTGAATACGAGCACCGGTTGTTTCTTCGACACGCCTAATCGCTCATTGTAACAGCTCTCCGTAACTCTGTTTCGGGAGTGGACAAATTCTCGGGGCCGAAGTAAGATCGCGCGTCTACTGGGCGAAGCCGTCCGGATGGTTTAAGCCTCTTCGCGTAAATTACGAGACGCGCGAGAACAGATATGACCGCTAAGCCGGCGGATTTAGAGCTATAAAGTGACAATGGCCGATCGCAGCCGTGGGCCGGATCTGTTCGCGACAATTGCATGTCGCGCTACGAGAAGGCTTCGATTTTTCGCTTGTCCCCGTGGGGAAATCTACTCGCAAGGTCGCTTTGGCGCTTTCAGCTGGCGATGGTTGACGACACGACGAGCCGCCGGCATCACCGCAACCGACAGCTTATCGATCGCTCGTTTCTATTCGTTCTATTATTGCCGGTGATCTAACACTTAATGGAATAATTGTAGTTGATCTGTGGCCACATGGGGAATAGAAAGAAAAGAGCCAGGAACGCAGACGCGGTTCAACTGCGGCGATATGTCTTCATATAAGCACCGTCTCTGACAGTGTCGTTATGGGCAGTGTCTGCATGTCGAGTATCGTTCGCAGAAGACGCCTGGTCTCGGGTTTTCAATGTCCTCCTCGTTAGAAGCGAAATAATCCGTTCCTCGAGGAACGGAAAATAATCGAGGCCTTCGGCTTTATGCGAAAAAATGTGAGAAATAACGAGATAACCCGAGTCGAAATTTTGGCCCTATGTTAAGTGCTGCAACGCAATAGTAGCTAAGTTAGCAAATTAAGTTTAATTCTAAAGATACAATTTACTCCTACTTCTGAGACTCTGATGATGTCCAAAACTTCCCTTTTCACTTTCTTTAGCATCAAAATATAAAAATAGATTGTATTATAGACGTCTAGCATCATGGTTACTCTGTTACTTTGCCGTGTGTCCAAAATTTCCATTATTTTCTCCTTCGCCGATCGTACATCGTCCAGTCGTCCAGTCGACCTTTATGTGCGGAAAATTAGATTATATTATAAGCTTCAGAATATATCAAAATACGTATTGAATGGAGTAGTGAGGCTGAAAGTAAGATCAAAATTTCGACTCGGATAAGTTAAATAGAATCAAAAGAGGTTGATGTAGATTCCAGAGTATCAAAACAGGTGTTGAATAGAATAGTAAGGCTGAAAGGATCCAAATTTCGACTCGGGAATCTGAGTCAAAATTTTAACCCTACTTTAGACTTGAAAAGGGACCTCTCAGCAAAGTTGGTAGATTAAACGGAATCGAAAAAGATTGATACAGAATATCAAAATAGGCGTTAATGGAATATTGAAGTTGAAAGTAGGAGCAAAATTTCGACTCGGGGAAGCGCGACTCGACTCGATACTAATCGAGAAGGAAAGTTATCTATATTCAAGTCGAAAATTTGATCTTTCTTTTGACTTGAATATCCTATCTGTCGCCTATTTTTATATTTTGAAGCCTATCAACTTTTCTGAAATCTATTAAACCAATAGTCTTATTGAGAAATCCTTTTTAGAATTTTCAAGTGCATTTTTTACTATTCAGAGGCGCTAAATAGAACTTTGCTATATTGATTAACTCTTTAATGATATGTCCGGAAAAGTTAAGTTTAGTAATAAAACATTACATAATAATAATAATGTATTTCACAAATATTAAATTCCTTTTAATTTACTTAAACTGTTATATTTTGTAACTCATAACAACAAATACAAATTTTATTTTGTATTCTATTTTTAAAAAATTTTCAAAGAAAGCAGCAATATATATAAAAAGCAAAGAAATCTAGACGTTTAAAAAAAGATTCTTAAGGATATCGCGCAATCATTTAAAATCATCACTGAAAAAGTTAAACATATACTGATCCTTCAGAATATGCAGAAAATTAGAATGTTCAGGTTGAAAATTGGACTAAAATTCTGACTTCAGGTATGTGCGGAAAAATGAGAAGGGTGGACTGGACGGCGACTTTGCGAGCAACCCTGTTTGACGGCGCGATTGGTCATTGCGAAAGTCGAATAAATTAAGAGCGAATGGAGCGCATATTTATTCCCGACGTTAGATGCGAGTTATTAACTCGTTAAACTGTGAGGTTCCCGGAGGCAGCGACTTTATTGGACAGGCTCAAACGTTTCCATACTCGTTTTGCGCAATCCTTGAAATCTCGCGAGATTACGGTCGGAAACGTAGGTGTACATCATTGGCGTGTTACTGCTCTCGGCAGCCTGCGCCTAATAGTTTCTGCGGTTAATGGTTTTCTCATGATCGCTCTAAAGCCTTGCTCGGCCGCGTGAAACGTCCGTATGCAACCGCCGATGTTCCACGTGAACGCAATTGGAACGCGCGGGCCGGCCGATACGCAGTGGATGGTTTCCTACTCCGGTGGCGATAGTGAGAGAGGCTGGCGGCTCGATTTACACCATTTATCGGCTAATTTCATCTCTACATTAATATTAAACAGTAATCAGCCTGTTGGTCGGCCATTGCGGCCATTGCGCCGGTGCAATGGCATCCGTTTGATATACAGCCGCGAGGAAGCATCCTTCATCCAACGGCCTATTACTACCCGCGACACCTGAATATATCTTTGACATTCCGACGTTCGTTCGGGAAACTCCGAAGCGATATGCGTATCCGCGCTTCGGCGACGACATGTCGCCCCCGTGGTACAAAGTCGTCAAGGTGAACGAATGCGTTATTGCACATTGTACGCAACGTTTCGTTGTTGCATTCCCCTGCAACGTTGCGCGCGAGTCATTAGGCCGAGGATAGTGGCGCGCGGTGGTGGCAAGTGGTACGTTTACCTCGTTTCGGAGGTAACCGGCCCGATTACCTCGTTAAATTAAAGAAAAGAGAGGAGAAGAAGACAGGAGAAACACGCAGTCATCAATCGCGCTCTGGACAACTAACGCCGCGAACGCGGCGGACGTTTTTGTCTCATTGCGTTTCAAAGCAATCTCTCACGTTGCTTCGAGACGGGGCGCGAAGGCTTCGAGTCGCCTTGACAAGGCGCACGGATCGATCTATCCGCTTTCCACGTTGGACGCCGATCGCCGAGAGGCGGCTAGATAGGTAGATGAACAGGACGTGGAGGAGGAGAGAGAGAGACACACAGAGTGACGGGAGGGAACGCGTGCGTGCAAGGGAAAAAGAGAGAGAGAGAGAGAAAGAGAGAGAGAGATGCAGTCTAGTGCAGGTAGTTGAACGGTGTAATCATCATTATCCCATTATCATTAAAGTCGGAAAAATGGCGGAGCGACCAATGGGCGCGCGCCTCGAGCAAGTCGGGGTTAACTGCAGGTGGGGACGTCGCGGATGGAGATACTCGCGGACCTCCCATACAGGCTGCAC